CATCTAAGTTTTTTCTTTTTTGTTTTCATTTATTGAAATTAACAATAAAAATTAAACACAATTTAAAAATTCCAAAATATCTACACATAGCTTGGTAGCTTAATATCCCTAACAATAAAAATATTTCAATTTCGCATATAATGTACCTACTCCTTTTTTGATTTTATCTGTATTAAATGTTTTCCTTAATTTTTGTAATTAAATTGTACATATTTTATTTTCCTTTAAATACGTTGCCTTCCATGCAAGTGTCATAAAAAATATGTAAATAACTGTAAATTAATAAATATTTTCTATGTAATGTTTCTATTTATTACAAATATTCATTGTAAAAGAGTATCTTAGTCTGTAAAAAACAATAATATTTATCAACTTCATATTCTCTACGTTGTTAATCTTTTTTTAACTTAATCTCAGCCTTTTCTTAAAGCTGCAAGAATTAAAACTAATACTTTAATGACAAAAAATAATGATCCTACATTACGTAATCACTAACGTCTTTATGGTATTATAGCCAAAAATTTTGCAAGGGTTAAGTAGGTACCTGTTGAGAACAAAACATCAAACATGTTTTAAGTTATTAGATCATTACCTTTTCAATTAGACTATTCGTAAGGTTCCGTACCTTAAAAAGGAAAAAAGGAACCCTTTTTCATTAAAAAGTTTTAACAATGAACAAGAACAAAATGTTTTAGGACTAAATAAAGAATTTATTTCCACGTCTTGAAAAATCCATAACTTACGTATGTCGATGTGATAGCTTCTAATTAAAAGGTCACTAATTAACCTATTTATGGGAGGTCCTTCAATGTTTCTGTTTTATCTTCAGTATCATGCGTTATAAAGTAGAATGAATACAAACATAGCCTTTTAAGGTCATGAACAGATTCGTAACAGAACAATGACACTTTAGAAGAACATGGGAAACGTTAACTCACTTCAACAGCAAAAGGCAAAACAACAAAAAACGTTTTGTTCTTGTAATGTAAACAGATAAATTCGACCTTATATCGAACCTTGATAGATTACTACGTTTGTCTGTTGCCTTTTGCCACTGATCTACTTATTACGGAAGATAGACAATCGCGAATTTACTATTTCGAATCTACCAGCTGATATAATCGTCTTTGCAACGGATTAACGGATAAAATTGGTTCACGTAACAAAAAATAAACTTGGAAATGCGTAACAGCTTCGGAGAAAATCAGATAGAAGGTTGGAAATTCAAGTGGAAAACTGGAACCAAATAAGGACTAATTGGGGCAAGGGCAATAAGTAGTGGTGGCAGTGCCTGAAAAAATACCATACTGATTAATGCTAATAGAAGTTAATAATTTGTCTCTAAAATGACTGAAAACGTAATGAACATACAGTAGAATCCGCTTATAATAACATCGAAGGAAAATGACAAACACGTCATACTAAGCGGGCGTCATACAAAGCATAGTATTATTTAATAAACAACATTCTTTTTTGGTTAGTTATTTTTAGTTTAATAGAGAGAAAAACTATAAATTGTATATATTTATTAACAGAAAACGAAAAATTGTAATATCAATATACACAACAAGGGTCTGAAAAATGAGTGAAAATGTTATTAGTAATCATTTGGGTCACTATGGCCGGATATGATTTCTTGAGAATCACTCATAATAAACGATATGTCATTTTAAACGGAGTCATTATATTCAAACTTTCCTATAGAGAATTTAATATGAAAACCAAACTTAACACTACAATTACTTCATATTAAGCGGTTGATCAATATAGGCGGAGTCATAATAAACGAATTCCACTGTCCCATATTGACGACAGTTAGTTTGTCACTAAATTTAGCGTAACCAACTCAGAATTTTTGAAAGTCCGAATAAGTCTGGAGATTGTAAATATACAAATGTACAAGAAAAAAGCTTATTCGTTTTGCATAGTTAAAAACTAATAGATTAATTTTATTAACTTATTTGATTAATTTACTTTCAAAAACTCTTTGGGAGCCCAATTTTTGAGCTTCCGGAGCTCTAGGTAGAAAATTAGTATAGTAACTACACTCTGTCAATAAAAGAACAATAAAGATTTTGTTTTCCATAAAATTTGAAAAATCCGGAGAAAACTTAAAATTTTCTGGAATCTCCGTACTAAAACAGGAGAGTTGGTAACCTTACGTAAACCACAATACATTATACATACCTATATAGAAGTACTGACTACTGATAGACAATGCACAATTTAAATTGGCGATCCTAGAAAATGTGTTTGGAGGAAATATCCTTACAGGTACTTAACTACGGATGGGCTGAGTTTTGGCCTACTTGCTGACCCCCCGTGAATATTAACTTATATAACGTAAAATTTAAAACCGTGAGCATTCAACGTCTCATAAAATTCAAGACGCTTTGCATAAAAAAAGTTATGCATCGTTTTCATGCAACGATACACTTTATCCAAGTCGATCCATCGATTTTTTCTCGATGAACGAAATTGTTAAATCACCTAAAAAGATTTCACTTTCTGTATGGTGAAAAATGACATACGCAGCAAGGAAGGAATTTACATGCGGTTTTAGACATTGTTTACTTTTCCTGCTTAGGTGTCTAATATACTTAGAAATATTATCAAAGTGACGTCTTTTTGAGTTATGTAAAATTATATATTTGTCGTCTTGGATTCCATCCCTAAAGGGCCGAAAGGGTTAATTGTGTACGGATAAACATAAATTACATCAAGCTACAAACTTATGAAACCTTTTCGTGTACTATTCGAATGCAAAAATACCTTTTAACTATAATTTAACGGTTGATTTATAAAATCTATCCAATTTTTTTTATGTAAACTTCCCTACATTTTATGTTTACAGATGTTTATGTTGAAACTTTGAATAAATAGTATCATTTCAAAAATAATTAGTCGTTTTTCAACCTCCGAGAAGCTTAAAAAGATTTGATACAATTGGTGAACAAGAAACAAGTGCTAAATTTTGTAATAAATTTGCAAAACATATACCAACTAATTATTAAAATGTTTCAAGTGCCGAGCAAGCAAGCAATCATTAATTTACTTGAAAAAATCTATTGTCTGTAAAGTCGGTTTACTGACGATAGTTGAACGTGACAACGTCATAAGAAAATACTGATGGAATGGTTTCATTTTACAAAAGAAAATTTTAATTTTATTGTACCTGTAATATCACAAAAAACTTTTTGACACGAAAATAACAATATTAGTAGGTGCCTAATAATTAATTACTATTTAGTTTAACATTTTTTCTTGTTTAATAATGACAAAAGCATTCAAGAGGAAATACTGATAAAACAAACCTGAGAGCAGCCGAAAAAATAAATGAGACATCGTCGAATTATGCAACTCTGATAATAATTGGACGACATTCCAAGCCACTATGTTTAAAATATGAACCATCTTTTGAAATATCCTGCAACCAGTGTGCAACTGTAATAAAATAAGCGACATAACCATATGTAGCAAAAAATACATAAAACTTTTATACCGCCTAAAATAATATTATTACTCCAGATACATATTATGTTACCAAATAAGGAATCTTTAAACCCATTATGCAATTTTGCGCAGCTTACGAGGATATATCAAGGAGGAATGTTAAAAAATAAGGAGCCAATTTATATACGACCTGAGATCAATTAAAATAACAGGAAATATAAGTTTAAATAAAGGAATATTAACCCACTAAACTCTATAATTAAAAAAATTAAACTCAAATAATTATTTAAAATCTTAATGCATTATATTAAAGAAACCAATAAAATAAAAGTCAAAGTGGCGGAATGGAGGTTCTGCATACGATGCTAATTTACTTTTGGTATAATCTATAAAATCAGACTTCAATTGACCCATGTAAGTTTAGCAGTAGTTGTTAAAACACACCCTGAACAAAAATGGTTAAAATTTGACCAATTTTTATGAACACGTGTGGAGAAACCTCCTTGGAATTGTTTTTAAATTTTTGCTATTTACCACTATTCAAGCTCCACAAATTTATAAATATTTCATTTACTCGTTACCTCTACTATTTACGAAATAAGAGTTTTCTGGTAGACGAAAAACCATCGCCGGCTTAGTAATATGACCCTGTTATTTTTAAATATCTAACTCTTAAAAATACATTATTACTAGTTAACTAACTAATCCCGTCCAAATTTGAGCAGATACATTTTAATTATGATAATCCTATATAAGCTAACTTAATGCAATCCTTTGGTTTATAGCATTTATCCCTACAACTTCATACGTGCCCATTAGGGAATGCTTTCTCGTATCGTCTTTATAGCCCTAGCACAAAGAAGACTACAGACAGGAATA